CCTTTCGGTATGTTCAGATACAATAAACAGAACACGTTAAAACTCTTCCTTATCAGATGAGGAATATATATTAAGGTGATATGATTTGACTAGAATGAAATTTAAGGGGGGATACAGGCGGAAGTCTTTCCAAGATATTTTGAAGCTATTGAAATCATCAAACGTCAAACGTTAACACTTCAAGTCTCATAAAAAATGAAAGTTGGGCAAGCCCTCAATGCCACCTAAATGTAAGGCTTTGCAGCCCATAGGGCTTACACGAAAAAAATGGCTTGCTACGCGCCTGGCAAACGCACGAGAATTGCAATACGGGCCTCTAACCATTGAAGCAAATATATCGAAGCCCACGCAAGTCTACAAAATGTGGCAAGTCTCAATTTCCACAGCTTCAGGAGAAAGTCTCAGGGCTCCTTTTCATTATAATATATATTTTTTTTACTATGAACTTTTCTTCTGTAAAATATGTTCATATCAGGGACTAGTTGTTCTGATGGGTAGAAGACAAAAGACAAAATAGATACTAGTGCTGTTACATTTTTTAAATTATATATAAACATTCGTCCTTGTCTCGGGATAAATGTATAGTTTCCACCAAATGTACATTCGGAGGATATCGAAATCTAGGTTAAGCTATTTGAATCATATTTACAATTAAAAGACCCAAACAATGGTTTGTTGTCCACATTTTTGGTTTTCCATAGTCACAGAACGATATTTTCTCCCCTTCCGTCTCTAGGAAAACTTACTGCAGGGTTCGGGTTTTGGAGTGCCATACCAAACACACACAGCTGGCGGGACCAACATCTCCAGTAACATTTACATCTGCCAACGCTTAATTCGCAAGTGGTGAGGCAATAAGCTAATGAGGCTAAGGGTCCTGTACCAGGCTAAGTCTAGCTATGTATGGCGTTAAGTCACTGCTAAAGAAAGACTCCTTTAGATTATATTTGGTAAATATTAGTATTTCCATCATATTGGACAATACATAGACTAACGCTTAGTGTCTGAATATATATAAATTTGATATAAACAAACAAACCCATTTAAATTGAAAAGGAGCCCTAGGGAGACACGAGATTCAGTCCGGCTAGCCATGGCAGTTAACTATAGATATGTTTACTTGTAACCCGACCCCCAAAGTGAGTTAGGGCTCTTGCAGATTTTAACAGACCCTGGACCTGAGGAGATCTTGACTTGCTTCATTTAAGGCTTTAGCATTGCAGAGAGGGCTTGGCAGTAGGGGAAATAATGTGGTTCAGGGACTGTGAGACAGACTAGGAAATGCATGGCAACCTACACTTCATTGTGACTATGATTAAGGCATCATTTTATAACACAAGGTTTATTTCCTGTGCTTTAACTGACAGGCTTTCGGTGTCAAATTATTTGGAACTCCAGCCAAAGGTGGTGTTATGCTGTCTGGAAATATGGCCTTTTTGTAATGCTTTGGTTGCACATAATGATAAGTGATTGTTGTACATAGGATGTTTTTGAAGGATAATCTCAGCTGACTAATACTTTGCAAGTGTTTCCCCCCACTCTTTCCATACTAGTAAAAGTTAATTTTCCATATATATGTCTGTAAGAAAATACTGTAGTAATGGAATGGCTGAATTTGGCCACCTGAGGTAGTGACCACAGCACTCTGGTTATACTGCATTGAGAGAGGACAGAGCTTGGCAAGATACCAATAAATATGCTTGTCTTTTAAATCTTTATGTGATGTTTGTGGAATGTGATTTTATAATTGAAGATGCTTCCTGCACCTGTAGCCCCAGTATAGACGTTGTTAGTCTGTGAATTTTCCAAATTACTTCGTCTCTTTTTTTTCAATTGAAATTAAGATCTTTGCCTTTTATCAAAATAATATATTTTCAGTCTTAATGTGCCTCTGTCGGGAATCAACCACCGGTTTTTCACCTGAGAGGCGAAAGCTTTAGCCACGAGCGTACCCCATCATTCCTTGATACTGTTGGTACATTTATTATACATTCAAGATTGAACCCAGTTTTGTCACCATATATCCTTCAGTTTTTATGTTAGTGACATGATCTGCACACTGATAATTTAAAAAAGTGTAATATAAATAATGATTGTTTGCGATCTTTATCCAATTTAGCTTTCCATTGATCTCGTAATTTTCAGTTTCTATTTCCTGGAATATCTGTACGAAGGTACTTTTAACAGTTTCACCCAATAACAGTAAAGCATACAGATAATACGTTTCGTAACTTTGATAGATTAATAACTACACATTATATTCCATGATATTGAGTGAGTGAGTGAGTGAGTGAGTTTAGTTTTACGCCGCACTCAGCAATATTCCAGCTATATGGCGGCGGTCTGTAAATAATCGAGTCTGGACCAGACAATCCAGTGATCAACAGCATGAGCATCGATCTGCGCAATTGGGAACCGATGACATGTGTCAACCAAGTCAGCGAAACTGACCACCCGATCCCGTTAGTCGCCTCTTACGACAAGATAGTCGCTTTTTATGGCAAGCACATGGGTTGCTGAAGACCTATTCTACCCCAGATCTTCACGGGTCCCATGATATTGAAATACCAAAATGATTAACATAATTATATAATGTATAACAATTTAAACAGCAAAAAGCAAAAGCAAAAAAAGAAAACGCATGAGCAACATAATGTTGTCAGGGAGTAAGCTTTCAATAATCATCGAAACTGCTTAGTTATGAGTTAATTGCAATCACTACAATTTTCTATGGTCTACCCAAGATATGGAAACAAAATATGTCGACAGTATATTCCGTTGGGTAGCTGAAATTTGAGAACACGTCCGTATGGTACAATACCTGTATTCCGAATCAAAAAGAGGTCATACCAAGTATGTGCATGTTCACGCATTTACAACAGTAATTTTCACCGGGAATCATTAATACATTGTAATCATCTATGAAAGTATAGATAATGAAATTTGTTCAGTTATGATCAGTCGGATAACTCATACAAGTGAACACTAAAATTTGGGACCTGTCGGTTCATGTCTGTGTGAACACATCTGTCTGTGTTTTATTGTAGTTAGCAGTGTCTCCTTGCATAGCATATATAAGAAGTGTACCTAGGGTCAGTTAAACTGTTATGTAATTTCCATTACAAAAAGTATAAACGATATTACCTACTGGTTAGAAAGACTTATCAGTACCCCAACAACGACCCTCCGCCACCACCCCACCCTAGGCCTACCCCATGCCACACCCTCTCCCTCGCACACACACACACACACACACACACACACACACACACACTCTCCTAACATACATATCGCTCTGGCCAATATTTGAACCATTTTAACAGACATCATGTGTATGTCAAGGAAGACACGCACGTTATTAATGGTGCTCAGTCATGGGTATCACTTCACCATGTGTTTCTAATTATCTCAGTACATTATGGCGTGGTCGGACGCGCTAACGAACCCTATGTGGTAGTTACATTACAGAACCATTGAAATACATGTTAAAGTAGTGCTAATATTGTAACACTATATTTACCCATTTACAACCATTTACGCATGTACTACCTATATGACAAACCTAACCCTGGTCATACGAGATTTCAAGGGTATTGAAATGCATGTCCTACAATCACAGCATTTACATATGTAACACATCTTAGGAAACACATAAAAACAATCGCCAGATTTACACACCTGTGAAATACATGTAAATACAGAGATGAGTGTTCGTTTATTTTAACACCCCTTTAAACGTGTGTAAATCTGACGGCCAGATGATACGTAGATTTCAAACCTTGTTCATATGGCCGCCAGATGAAACGAGAATTTCCTGACGTTAGTAAATTTGGGTAATACAGTCATTTTGTGTGGTGTATGTTATGACAGTAAATAAACTGTTTATATAATTTCATTTGTCTATTTCACCACACGTTCTTCTTACCGAGTCACTTTCTCAGTTCGATACTTAAAAGCAATGTCATTATTTAGAGTTGACACAATTTCTAACTGTGATATAGATATGTCGCTGTCACAGACAAAACTCAATGTCTTGTTTTATTGACACCTGTGTGTGTGTCTGCCTGCCTGTCTGCTAATGGCAATATTCAATACACAACTGCGATCACGGACCACATGCAATTTGAACTTAACACCAATCAGGCTATACACCATAAACAAAACGCATTGATTTATTGCCCGAGTTCGGTCTCTGTCACATTATGTAATTACACAGACAGGCAGGTGTGATACTTGAACACATGACATGTTATGATGTCTGTTGATTGCAAAATGTTATACACAAAAAATGAGCATGTATTTACAAAACATAACTTTCTATATATACACACACAATTAGCCGTGAAGGCGGCATCTGCTAATGAACCAGCCGTTCCACTTGAGTGCACACCCACCCGCTCTGACTGGGTTCGGTATCCCGGCTGCTTCGTTTCGAGGGAGGTAAACCCAAGTACAAAATATTGCACTTTTGATTTGCGATTATACGCTTATAATTTTGTTTATTTGTTTTTTCATAATCAGTAATGCATATTATATGTCATGAAGAAGTGATAATTGTGTTATAATTATGTTTGATTTTTTGGTTGCATGTGACCTTTAATCCAATAGAGCACGTTTGGGATGCACTTGGGAGAAGGCGTCGTGGTCTTAGGAACCAACCTCAGAATTTGCAGGAACTTGGCGCTGGCTTGCAAGAGCAATGGCGCAGAATCCCCAACCACGTGTTCACAAGCATCAGGCAGTCGATGAGGAGACAGTGTTTGGCAGTGGTGAATGCGCGGGGCGGCCATACACGATATTGAACTGAGAAATTTCGCATTTTTATTCTTGTGACTTGACATTCTGTATACCCATGTTTTGGAACGGCGGTGTAGCCTAATGGAACTGATTATGGCACTGTCAGTGTATCGAGTACATCACACAGATTTCAGCAATGAAATAATAACAATTTGACCATCTTACCATCTCTTGTTCTTTTATAGTGCCCTGAAGAAAGAATGTGAAGTTTCTTTTTTGACTCAGTATATTTATAAATATTATGACGTACAAAGTAATATTTCTTAATATACTTATTTCTCAAAGTATGGTAGGCTGGATAGACACAAAGCAAATTATATTCATCTTTAATGACATTCAAATCACACATTTTACATATTCTATTTCTATTTTATTCCAATATATCTACCTGTTTCTATTAACAAATCATCGGATGAGCAACGAAATTTTGCAAGCGTGATTCTATTTTTCCGAACATTCAAAGATGATGAATATGTTTCATTGTATATAGATTGCTTAAACATGCTGTAATTAAAAAAAATCCCATTCATTTGATACAGATGTTTGGTCAAGCCAATACGAGTACTTCAAATCAGCATCCCCTCATACCCTCACATCCTCACCACTATATGGCTGGAATAATGCCGATTTGACGTAAACCCAACTCAACCGATCTGCACATCGACTTAAAATTAATGAAAGGATTGTTGAGGCGAACATAAAATCATCATAGCTGATTGACTGAGAGACGCAACAAACCTCTTTCACTAATTTTGAGAAATTTCTCTTTGAAGATGGGGCCAGTGAGTTTTGCTTTTACGCCGCTTTTAGCAATATTCCAGCAACATTACGTCGGGGGACACCAGAAATGGGCTTCACACAATGTACCCATGTGGGGATTCGAACCCGGGTCTTCGGCGTGACGAGCCAACGCTTTAACCACTTGGCTACCCCACCGCCCCCTAGATGGGGCCAGTGAACGATCTCAATATCATTAGCATGTTGTTGTGAAGCCCTGTTGAACAGTGATGATGTAAACTGTTCGCGAAAATATCAGCGTATCCTGCAACCTGTAACAAAAGGTGATGTTTTAAAAAGGAATCGTCGTCATTATGAATATTTTATGAATCACATGGGGAATCCGATCAAGTATACAGGTCCCAGCAGCCTACTCCGATGGGGTATACAGGACCCAGCAGCCTACTACTTGGGAATATAAAAGTCTATTTATAGCATACTCCGGGGGAATAAACAGGTCTATCTATATGTAGCCTACTCCGAGGGAGTAGGCAGGTCTATATGTAGCCTACACTGAGGGAGTATACAGGTCTATATGTAGCCTACTCCGAGGGAGTATACTGGTCTATATGTAGCCTACTCCGAGGGAGTATACAGGTCTATATACAGCCTACTCCGAGGGAATATACAGGTCTATATGTAGCCTACTCCGAGGGAGTATACAGGTCTATATACAGCCTACTCCAAGGGAATATACAGTTCTATATGCAGCCTACACCGAGGGAGTATACAGGTCTATATGTAGCCTACTCCGAGGGAGTATACAGGTCACAGCAGCCTGCTCCGAGGGAGTATATATATAGAGATATATACAGAGTTTTACCTTTTCGTATGAACCCTCTGAAAGGTGAGTGACAACTGAGGGCGACAGGTAAGTGACAACTGAGGGTGACAGGTCAGTGACAACTGAGGGTGACAGGTGAGTGAGAGGGGAGGGTGACAGGTGACAGGTCAGTGACAAGGGGGGGTGACAGGTGAGTGACAACTGAGGGTGACAGGTGAGTGACAACTGAGGGTGACAGGTGAGTGACAACTGAGGGCGACAGGTGAGTGACAAGGGAGGGTGACAGGTGAGTGACAACTGAGGGTGACAGGTGAGTGACAACTGAGGGTGACAGGTGAGTGACAAGGGAGGGTGACAGGTGAGTGACAACTGAGGGTGACAGGTGAGTAACAACTGAAGGTGACAGGTGAGTAACAACTGAAGGTGACAGGTGACAGGTGAGTGACAAGGGAGGGCGACAGGTGAGTGACAAGGGAGGGCGACAGGTGAGTGACAATGGAGGATGACAGGTAACAGGTGAATGACAACTGATGGTGACAGGTGACAGGTGAGTGACAACTGAGGGAGACAGGTGACAGGCGAGCGACAGCTGATGATGACAGGTGACAGGTGAGTGACAACTGAGGGTGACAGGTGAGTGACAGTTGAGGGTGACAGGTGACAGGTGAGTGACAGCTGATGGTGACAGGTGAGTGATAACTAAGGGTGACTGGTGAGTGACAACTGAGGGAGACAGGTGACAGGTGAGTGACAAGCAAGGGTGACAGGAGAGTGACAACTGATGGTTACAGGTGACAGGTGAGTGACAGCTGAGGGTGACAGGTGAGTGACAACTGGTGGTGACAGGTGACAGGTGAGTGACAACTGAGGGTGACAGGTGACAGGTGAGTGTCAACAGAGGGTGCCAGGTGAGTGACAGCTGAGGGTGACAGGTGAGTGACAACTTTTGCTGACAGGTAATGGTGATAGGTAACAGCTGAGTTTCAACTGGAGGTGAGAGGTGGCAGCTGAGTAACAGCTGATGGTGACAGGTGACAGCTGAGGGTAACTCTTCCAGCTGTAACAGCTGTATTTCTGGCACGTGTGACATGTTTACATAGACGATCAATTTCCAGATAAAATAATGGCATTTTCATTAATTCTCGCGTGACGTCTATTTCTCAGCGCTTGTGTATCAGCTGGTACATGGGTCAACAGTGTAGTTGTTCAGAAATGGTGTCACTTTAGACAAACAGCTTAAATTTTCTTTAAAGCGCAGGTCCTGCCAAACATAATCAACAAATTCTCCAACTGAGTCTATTTTTTGGTTGGGCTTGTAAACTTTTAATTCTGTCCTTCTGTTTTCATGCAGTAGAGTCGTATACTGATCTAATCCACGGAGCTTGGGAAGTGCTTTTTGAGGACGGACGTCATTTGACAAAATTGACACGATATTAATCGTTGACGCTTTCTCAATCTTGAAGTCTGAGGATACTTTCGTCTTAAAATCAACTGTCGATATGAATGGTGTTTTGGTAACTTTCAGCAACACAACATCCAGAAATTGTTCAAACTGTTCCCATTCGTGCAGCTATTGGCGAGTGTATGACTCAATGAACAGCTTACCGTCAGGGATTAGATTGTTCAAGCTATTGTCCAGAAAGTCGTCGAGATGTCCGAGGTATTTATCGTCACTTGTTTGTCCATCTAGATGTAACAACACATCTCCGCCTTCGGTGTTTCTCAAAGCACTCACGATCTTCTCAATCTCCTTCAGTTTTCGCCGCTTTCTCTCACTTCTCTTGATTTTTTCAGTAAGAACACAAACGTCAAGATGGACTAAAAAGAAACTTGGTTCCACTAGCGCTTTATTGTATTGACGTCGCAGTTTGTGACAGACTGTGCAACTACCTGAAATGATAATAGTAATGATAATTAGTTATCGATATAACGCCTATTTTAGTGCATGGCTATCTGCTCAGAGTGAGTGAGAGAGTGAGTTTGGTATTACGCCGCTTTAAGCAATATTCCAGCAATATCACGGCGAGGGACACCACAAATAGGCTTAACACATTGTACCCATGTGGGGAATCGAACCCGGGTCTTCGGCGTGACGAGCGAACGCCTTAACCACTAGGCTACCCCACCGCCCCATTTCTGCTCAGAGGCGCTTTTGGGGTAAAAACAGCTCTGACAGAGGGTATTCAGTTGTGAGCCAATCTGAAGACAACAGATTAATTAAGTATTTGTTGCAAGTAGTCTGCACTGTAATTAGCAATATTCAAACCCGTGAGGATCCGGCTTTAGAACTGATCTTCAGCAACCCATGCTTGTGAGAGGTGACTAACGGGATCCGGTGGTCAGGTTAGCTGACTTCTTCATGCTGTTGATCACTGTATTGTCTCGATTATTTACAGACCGCCGCCATATAGCTGGGATATTGCTGCGTGCAGCGTTAAAAAACAAACAAACAAAACAAATCTATCAGTGCAGATGGTGCGTCCGGCAGCAAACACTCACAAGACTAACGCTTAGTCTGTGAATTTATATAATTTCGACACAAACAAATAATTCCTTTTAAAATGAACAGCAGCCCCAGTGGGTTCAGATATTCAGAACCTGACGAAATCTAGACTTGCTTCAATTAGAGATTTTGCTTTGCAGAAAGGGTTGGGCGGAGGAAATAGTGTGTGGTTGAGGGACTGTGAGACAGATTACTGTGACACAAAAGGAATAGAAGTAATCTACTCACCCGTCTCAGAGCTTGCCATTCTCAGAAGTCCATTTTTGGTGAAAGATCACACCGGTCATTTTGATTCCACCTACGATAGAAGGCATTCATATAAACAAAGGTCAGTTAAACAGTGAGTGAGTGAGTGAGTGAGTGAGTGAGTGTGTGAATGTTGCTAAAAGCTGCATCAGCAATTTTGCAGCTATTCGCGACTAGAAAAACAAATATAATCCTTTGAAAATGAATATGCAGTAAAAGTGATGACGAAGATCGTTAAACCTTCAGTCCATATCACAGTGGACAGAAAAACTGACAATCAGAGTTTATAATCAACTTCTTATCTTATGTTTCATTTCAAGTATGCTGAAATTAAATGATTAGAAACTGTATTAAACAGTTCAGAAATAATTTGGGCAGAATAAAATTGTTGGCGAATGAGCGAAAAATCCACACATTCCAACAAAAGGTTATGGCACTTATAAACCACCATGTACCCGCCACCGATGGTGCATATCGACGTTTATCGGGAAATAACTGCAAAGATGGATATTGCTAATAAGCTTGGTGAAACTCTGTCTAATCATTCGCCCGCGTCTAACTAAAATGTATGTTTCCCAGTTCTAGAAATACAACAGGAAGAAATGAAATATGTAAATTTTAAACCAGATAATGTTTTTATCCCTGGATTGTGTGGTCCAGACTCGCAAACCGAAACACGAGTCTCATTAACCTATTCAGACAATTACCTACTTTTCAGCCGATCCGAATTTTCCTGTGTGAAAGTGAAAGGAGACACCACAAACAACTATGGTTGAACTGAATTCCAATTTCTTGTTTCATAAGAAAATGGCATTTACAAGTTAATTTAAATTTTAAACTTTAATAACATCGTATTTCTATATTTTATGGCGAGATGTAGACAGCATGATCTTAACTAAGACGTCACAGACTGCCCCTGTTTGATGAGGTCGTAAAACGTTTGCAATTCATCTGGCTCACTAGTTACACCTGTTATGTGTTCCTTGCTCTTAGTCAGTGTAGTTTTGTAACGCACAATGTGATTGATATAATATCAAGTCCGTATTAGACCGCCAAACTTTTCTAGCGGCAAAGCCTCGTTTTGAGATGTCCACGATTTCCAGATTTCCGTTTGTCAGAGAAGGTTGTACGACAGAGCACGCTGCACGACGTGTTTGCAAGGATTAACAGGTGCTAAAAGTAGTTTCAAATACAGAGTGGGAAGGGGATCAGACCACCCTCCTTCACTTGTACAGATCATTAGTCCGCAGTAAACTAGATTATGGCTCCATTGTCTACGGTGGAGCCTGCAAAAGCAATTTAGAAAAATTAGACTCTATCCACCACCAAGGACTGAGGCTCTGCCTTGGAGCTTTTAGGACCTCTCCGGTAGACAGTCTATATGCAGAGGCCAACGAACCTTCCCTTGAACAACGCCGCATCAAACTCTCACTGCAGTATATCACTAAATTACGTTCAAATGAGCCCAATCCAGCATACAATTGTGTTTTCATCTCGCTCTATGAAAACTTATTTCCTAAACTGCCAAGCCTGGTTCCACCACTTGGAATCAGGATCAAACCACACATATCTGCAGCTAAAATTGATCTCGACATCATTGCACCATACCGACTTCTGTCCTCACCACCATGGCAAATGGTGAAACCACAGGTCGATCTTACCCTCACCAAACTCAAAAAGTCTGAAACAAATCCCTTGGTGTTCCAACAGGAATACAACCAGTTACGTTCTAAGTATAACACTCACAGATCCATTTTCACAGATGGATCCAAGGACGATGGCCGAGTTGCCAGCGCTACAGTCATTGGAGCCAAGACTGTCTCCTCTAGGATCCCCGACAACAGTTCCATTTTCACCTCTGTAGGCCAAAGCTATCTTCTCAGCTTTGACCTACATTCAACAGCAAAATCAGTCCAAAAACTTCATCATATTTACAGATTCATTATCCTGCCTTCAAGCACTTCTAAACGTGACTTCAAGTCACCCAATCATCCTGGACATATTAGAACTGTACAACGACCTTTCTACTAGCCAATATGACATCATCCTCTGCTGGTTGCCGGGTCACGTCGGCATAGCAGGTAACACTAAGGCCGATGCTGCAGCAAAAGCAGCTCTCGAAAGGCCCCTATCTCCACTGCTAATCCCGTACAGTGACTTCAAACCCACTATCAAAAGCTATACTAAGGACCTGATGCAAAAAAAGGTGGGACACTCAAGTAGGAAGAAACAAACTCCATGAATTGAAGCCATCAATCGGTTATACCTACTTGGGTTGTCAGTCAAGACGCGATGAGGTAATTTTACGACGATGTCGTATTGGCCACAGTCGATTTACACATGACTATCTGCTGAAAACGGATGGGGATGGACCCCCCATGTGTGTCTCTTGCGATGAGGTGTTCACCGTCAAGCATATTCTGCTTTAATGCGTGGACTTATCCCCTGCAAGGGACTCACATTATGATGCAACAAACCTAAAAGATCTGTTCTCACGCGTGAGCGCCCATCTGATACTGAACTACCTGAGGGAAGTTAATCTGTATCATAAACTGTAACTGTGAAATGTAACAACCATAAATTGTAACTATGAAATGTAACAAACCGCCTGCCTTTAAATTTGATGCTATGATTTTTTCTGCTTTCGAATGACAATGCAATAAATAAATGTCTTTGAAATAAAACTCATTCCGAGTATGTACTTACAATATTTACTAATGCAAATTTGTTCTCGTCACTATATGGCTGGAAAAATGCCGACGTGACGTAAAGCTCAACTCAACTCAACTCTACAAGTGCTTAGATTATCAAATGATACTTAGGAGATAAATTTTATTTGAAGCCGAACGCGTAGCGTGATGTTTCAAATGATTAATTTAGAGACTATCAATTCGGTCTAACATTCATCTAATTTCCAAACGCAGTATGTTTATCTCCATTCTACCACAACCGATTTAACATCGAACTTCCTCGTCCTGCGGAAGACACTGCGTAATCCGGCATGGGATGAGAGGCGAATGATTGAACTCGTCTGATAAAGGAGTGGTAGGTTCCGTTCGTATTTTTTTTAACATTGCAACATAACAAATATTCTGTCCAAAGAAAACAAACTACTGTTTATTCAATGCAATAATGTAACACCTAAGAGCTTGGTTTTTATAATCATAACTCCACAAGACCGAAACCAGCCTATTGTTTTGTGTGCCGTATTACTGTACCCCCCTGGCCACAGTATAATGGAATCGTCTGACCTACTTATTTTCGAGCCAGACGAGCCAGTGTTTACACTTTGCGAAAGGTTGAAATTCGAAGTGACAGTGGAAAATACTTGACTGACTGTCGAACCTGAACCCTGCAGAATCGAAGAATAGATCCTTTTCTGATCGACCTATAACCTGTAACTCATCAAAGACTGTTGATTTTTATGACCGGCGAGTGTCGATCATGATTTCACGAACGTGCCTCCACCCCGGCATGCGAGGAAGGGTGACAGTGCAGCCTTGTGTACATGCGACTAACTTGGGATTCCTTGGAACATTGTTCTCATCATTTGGGACTGGATTGTGGCCAAGCCTTTCAAAGTGTACGTACATAGCAGTGACAGCCTTGCGGGGAAGGTGGCAGAGAACTGAGCTCTCATGGTTCAGATTTTGACATTTTGAACGATGCAACGGGACATGATGGAGTATGAGTGGCACATTTTGTGTTTCGCCTGAGCGTTATCTTGCGAATTTCCCATTCCTAACGGAAACAAATATACCATTTACCAGGTGGGTAAATGTTTACGAACGTTTTGCCGCACAAATAGGGATAGATAGGGATGTATTGTCACAAGGTTTTCTGATTTATATGTTAGATATTGTTTGTTTATGTTTGGGGCTGTGTACTGTAGTTGAGTTTGAATATTTTTATATTAGAAGGTAATAATTATGATAGTGAGGTCCCCTAATAATTGGGGAGGAGAAATCGTATAATTGTATTTTTCGAGTTTTAATAAATGTTTCAGCAGCATTTCCATCACGTCTGTTGTGTTGATATTAGTCATGTTGGTGGCCAAGCTGAAGTAGTGCGGCAGTGTTGTATGTGTGCGCAATGAAGCGCCGTGAAAGCAGACGCATTTTCAATCCAAATTGACACCGTCTGATTTTATGGCTTGACCAATCAAATTCGAGCATTTCACGTAGCCATGGTAGAATAATCAATATACTAATGCCAATAATGGTTGTCTGAGCAAGCTGACAAGGTAAGGATGTCATCTGTGGGATGACTCCACGCCCTGCTACAGACATACTTCTTTATTATATTCTAAAGGGTGAATAATACTGTAAATATTGGTGAAAATAAAAATGGTATTTTCACTGAGTAGAATAACATGTTATTTCACTGAGTAGAATATGACTTTTGCCTTGAACTAATAATATTATAATAAAATAATAATAAAATGCGTCATAAAATGCAGACTAACTCGATGATCAAAATAAAATAAATAGAATATTTTGTTAATGTTGTCAAATAACATGTATATTTCATCGAGTGGTCTGACAAAGTTGATATGTTATTAATATGAGCAACGTTTCGGTGTAGGTACTAACAACGTCATCAAGCAAGTGAACGTCCTTCATATTAATAAGTGAGTGAGTGAGTTTGGTTTTACGTCGCTTTTAGCAATATTCCAGCAACATCACGGAGGACACCAGAAATGGGCTTCACACATTGTACCCATGTGGGGAATCGAACCCGGATCTTCGGCGTGACGAGCGGACGTTTTAACCACTAGGCTACCCAACCGCCCTTCATATTAATAATGAAGAAGTTGTATATCCTTAGAACTCTCCCCGTTGTTCATCACACCAACTTCTAAATGCCACTCAAAGATTTATTCGCTCTAATGCAGGTTAAATTATTCTATTGCTCGACCACTAGACTCACACTTAGTTTCTGAAATGAACATATTTTATAGAAAAAAAAGGGCACAGCAAATCTTCACGAAATATAGAAAAAAGGAACTGAGAGACTTTCTTCATTTTCAAAAACTGAAACTTCCGTTGTGTAGTCTTATCTCAGGTGTATATGCAGAGTTTCTGCAGCGCCTAACTCTCTCAGTCACGTTCCCGTGACGTCGAGTAAAATATGTACATGTGTATTTGTCAGCAGTTGTAACTTGTAATTACGATCTTGCTGAAATACCGCCGATGTTACCGTAAATAGTTGCACACTCATCGCAATTTTAAGAATAGCCTTTGAAAGCTATATCAATGCTTTACCTGAGAAGGTACCAATGTCAGAAACATTTTCGCTTGTATGATTTTTTATACTGCACTTGAATATGTTGTGAATGTTGCATGCTCGGATCGGGAGAGGATATGTTCAGTTATGAGTCGGCTGCACTCAAGGCCGGTACGTTTATCACTGGTATCATTCACACCTGAATGAGTTGACGAGCAATACCTCTACAGCAATACGTGCAGAATAACAGTCGATTTCCTTATATTTAGACTGCCATTAAGTTAAACTGCGGGTTTGATCGCACCACACCGATGTGAAAGGCAGTTGTTTACAAGCGCATGTGTACTTTAACCTACACAAGCACAACATTTTTTAAGATGACGGAGTAGTAATTTTGTAATTGTGTTGAGGATGGACCAGCGACTGTGGTACAGCGACCTTGCGCTTTCACTGTCAGTCCACCCGACCTTACACGAAATACCCGACCATACAATGTCAAGGTGTAGGTAAGGATCTGTTAGGTGTGTGTGTGTTTGTGCACAGCCACGCACTGACTCCGCCAACACCGACATGCATAGATACACACTGTAACGTAGTTTCGACCGACCCAACCAGTCGAGTGACCTGGTTTGTGGTTTTGCACAATCCACATAGCAACACCTCAAAACAGCTACTCTGCTGTCTTAAGCTTCAGTGAACGAACTCTCACCTTCATGGTTGCAGGTGCTGCTCAAGCAGGACCTCCAGGCACTGCTGTTCTGGACCTCCAGGCTATGTGGTTCTGGACCTCCAGGCTATGTGGTTCTGGATCTCCAGGCACTGCGCCTGACAGGGACAGTGTTACAGGTGATTACGTCAACTCTGCAGGAAGTAGGAAGGAACACTATCCAACACGCTATTTATAGTTCAGAAATGTCGATAACAGTCAGCTGTGAGCCCCAGGACGTCACTGAAGGTGTTGAATCACTCGATAAGCACACATAACAGGACATAATCTTCAATAGAACTTTTAATGGCTTTCAATATATATTCCCGTGAACGATTATACTTATCTTTGTTTGTATAAATTTAAAACTTTGATGTCTGTAGACAATTCCACTGTGTATAATCTAGCAATGTATCTATTTTACACGAATAAGCTAAGTACAAGCCGTTTGTTGGCTGTGTGAAAATCAATGTATTACACACTCCTGAATAAAGAGGACAAAGCAGAATGCAGATCACCAGCTACTCAAGGTAGATCAGTATACTAAGAATCATATGGACCCAGATTACAATTGATCTTCAGTAACCCATGCTTGTCGTAAGAGGCGACAAACGGGATCGGGTGGTCAGGCCCGCTGACTTCGTTGACACATGTCTTCGTATCCCACTTATGTAGAGAGATGCTCATGCTGTTGATCACTGGGTTGTCTAAGTCCAGACGAGATTATTTACAGACTGACTTTGGTGGTGCACCCCATCGTTTTCGATGTGTGTAGATCATTTCTTATGCTGTGAATCACTGGACGGTCTGGTCCAGATTCGATCATCTACAGACATAACGCCGCAATAAAGAACTAGTAAGGCATCAAGATTTAAGTGTGATTCTTTTATCTTTCTTAAATGATTAACCTACATAAAGTTATTGACCTAAGAAAATTCGAGCGATTTTTACAACTCTACACTGAACCTTTCGTGAAGTTTTGAATATTTGACATTCTTTATCACCAGTGCCGTCCATTATCTCATGATCTGATACTGCTCATGATCTGATACTGTTCGATTGCGAAGCGGCCGGTCGGGTAGCCTAGTGGTTAAAGCGTTCGCTCGTCATGCCGAAGACCCGGGGTTCGATTCTCCACATGGTTTGGGAATGACGTTTCTGTTGAACACACCCTGGGAATCCAAATGGAAATGACATGGCTGAAATTGACCACACGGATGTCCACACTTCACGACTAATGATATTTTGTACTGCCTTTATTACAACGGGAGGTAGTATTTTGATTCGTTGAAGGCTCGGGTTCGATTCCTTAAATGGGAATATGTGTGAAGCCCAGTTCTGGTATCTCCAGCCGCGATATTGCTGGATAGTGCTGAAAGCGTAGTAAAACGATAAACCTTTTGCAGAGAGTTCATATCAACCTTTGTTCTCTGGGTATTTTTAATCATGATTCACTTCAGTTTCAAATCGTTTTAAGCAGACTGATATAATGATATTTGCTGAAATCACCTCTTTCCAGTGCTATGTCGACCGCGTCCGTGGTGTAGTGGTTAGAGCGTCCGCCCGGAGAGCGGAAGGTCGCGGGTTCGATCCCTGGCCTCGTCATACCAAAAGATGTTAAAATATGGTACTTGTTGGTCCCTGCCTGGCGCTCGGCATTAATGACTTCAACAAGGACTGGTCTGCTCGGAGTCAGTATGCTGTGTCTGAGTGGGGTATTCATGCTTCACTGCGGCACATACACATACACACGCATGCACGTCGTCATATGAGCGAAATATTCTCAAGCGCGATGTTAAACCCAATTTCACATCACCTCACCTCACGTGCCATGATGGTATCAATCTGCAGATAATAAATCCTGAGCATAATCTAAATGCTTTAAAACTGCCTGTAATGACTGATTGTAAATGTTGAATGCACATTCAGGTGAATTCCACACCCGTCACTATGTCTGTTGACTACATATCCAGGTGAGTTACTGTGACGTGACTGTATCTATTGACTACATGTCCAGGTGAGCTACAGTGCCGTGACTGTATCTGTTCACTACATGTCAAGGTGAGATACAGTGACGTGACTGTATCTGTTGACTACATATCCAGGTGAGCTACAGTGACGTGACTGTATCTGTTGACTACATATCCAGGTGACCTACAGTGACGTGACTGTATCTTTTGACTACATATCCAGGTGAGCTACAGTGACGTGACTGTATCTGTTGACTACATATCCAGGTGAGCTACAGTGACGTGACTGTACTTGTTGACTACATATCCAGGTGAGCTACAGAGCCTTGACTGTATCTGTTGACTACATATCCAGGTGAGCTACAGTGCCGTGACTGTATCTGTTGACTACATATCCAGATAAGCTACAGTACCTTCACTGTATCTGTTGACTACATATCCAGGTAAGCTACAGTTACGTGACTGTATCTATTGACTACATATCCAGGTGAGCTACAGTGCCGTGACTGTATCTGTTCACTACATGTCAAGGTGAGATACAGTGACGTGACTGTATCTGTTGACTACATATCGAGGTGAGCTACAGTGACGTGACTGTATCTGTTGACTACATATCCAGGTGAGCTACAGTGCCGTGACTGTATCTGTTGACTACATATCCAGGTGAGCTACAGTGACGTGACTGTATCTGTTGACTACATATCCAGGTGAGCTACAGTGCCGTGACTGTATCTGTTCACTACATGTCAAGGTGAGATACAGTGACGTGACTGTATCTGTTGACTACATATCGAGGTGAGCTACAGTGACGTGACTGTATCTGTTGACTACATATCCAGGTGAGCTACAGTGCCGTGACTGTATCTGTTGACTACATATCCAGGTGAGCTACAGTGACGTGACTGTATCTGTTGACTACATATCCAGGTGAGCTACAGTGCCGTGACTGTATCTGTTGACTACATATCCAGGTGAGCTACAGTGACGTGACTGTATCTATTGACTACATATCCAGGGGAGCTACAGTGACGTGACTGTATCTATTGACTACATATCCAGGTGAGCTACAGTGACGTGACTGTATCAATTGACTACATATCCAGGTGAGCTACAGTGACGTGACTGTATCTATTGACTACATACCCAGGTGAGTTACTGTGACGTGACTGTATCTATTGACTACATATCCAGGTAAACTACAGCACCTTGACTGTATCTGTTGACTACATATCCAGGGGAGCTACAGTGACGTGACTGTATCTATTGACTACATATCCAGGTGAGTTACTGTGACGTGACTGTATCTGTCGACTACATAATCAGGTGAGCTACAGTGACGTGACTGTATCTGTTGACTATATATCCAGGTGAGTTACTATGACGTGACTGTATCTGTTGACTACATATCCAGGTGACCTACAGTGACGTGACTGTACCTGTTGACTACATATCCAGGTGAGCTACAGAGCGTTGACTGTAATTGTTGACTACATATCCAGGTGAGCTACAGTGCCGTGACTGTATCTGTTGACTACATATCCAGGTGAGCTACAGCACATTGACTGTATCTGTTGACTACATATCCAGGTGAGCTACAGTACCGTGACTGTATCTATTGACTACATATCCAGGTGAGCTACTGTGACGTGACTGTATGTATTGACTACATATCCAGGTGAGCTACAGTGCCGTGACTGTATCTGTTGACTACATATCCAGGTGAGCTACAGCACATTGACTGTATCTGTTGACTACATATCCAGGTGAGCTACAGTGACGTGACTGTATCTATTGACTACATATCCAGGTGAGCTACTGTGACGTGACTGTATGTATTGACTACATATCCAGGTAAGCTACAGTGACGTGACTGTATCTGTTGACTACATATCCAGATAAGCTACAGTACCTTCACTGTATCTGTTGACTACATATCCAGGTTAGGTACAGTGACGTGACTGTATCTATTGACTACATATCAAGGTGAGCTACAGTGCCGTGACTGTATCTGTTGACTACATGTCAAGGTGAGATACAGTGACGTGACTGTATCTGTTGACTACATATCCAGGTGAGCTACAGTGACGTGACTGTATCTATTGACTACATATCCAGGTAAGCTACAGTAACGTGACTGTATCTATTGACTACATATCCAGGTAAGCTACAGTGACGTGACTGTATCTGTTGACTACATATCCAGGTGAGCTACAGTGACGTGACTGTATCTGTTGACTACATATCCAGGTGAGCTACAGTGCCGTGACTGTATCTGTTGACTACATATCCAGGTGACCTACAGTGACGTGACTGTATCTGTTGACTACATATCCAGGTGAGCTACAGTGCCGTGACTGTATCTGTTGACTACATATCCAGGGGAGCTACAGTGACGTGACTGTATCTATTGACTACATATCCAGGGGAGCTACAGTGCCGTGACTGTATCTATTGACTACATATCCAGGTGAGCTACAGTGACGTGACTGTATCTATTGACTACATATCCAGGTGAGCTACAGTGACGTGACTGTATCTATTGACTACATACCCAGGTGAGTTACTGTGACGTGACTGTATCTATTGACTACATATCCAGGTAAACTACAGCACCTTGACTGTATCTGTTGACTACATATCCAGGGGAGCTACAGTGACGTGACTGTATCTATTGACTACATATCCAGGTGAGTTACTGTGACGTGACTGTATCTGTCGACTACATAATCAGGTGAGCTACAGTGACGTGACTGTATCTGTTGACTATATATCCAGGTGAGTTACTATGACGTGACTGTATCTGTTGACTACATATCCAGGTGACCTACAGTGACGTGACTGTACCTGTTGACTACATATCCAGGTGAGCTACAGAGCGTTGACTGTAATTGTTGACTACATATCCAGGTGAGCTACAGTGCCGTGACTGTATCTGTTGACTACATATCCAGGTGAGCTACAGCACATTGACTGTATCTGTTGACTACATATCCAGGTGAGCTACAGTACCGTGACTGTATCTATTGACTACATATCCAGGTGAGCTACTGTGACGTGACTGTATGTATTGACTACATATCCAGGTGAGCTACAGTGCCGTGACTGTATCTGTTGACTACATATCCAGGTGAGCTACAGCACGGACTGACTGTATCTGTTGACTACATATCCAGGTGAGCTACAGTGACGTGACTGTATCTATTGACTACATATCCAGGTGAGCTACTGTGACGTGACTGTATGTATTGACTACATATCCAGGTAAGCTACAGTGACGTGACTGTATCTGTTGACTACATATCC